CGCGTCGATGTCCCTCTCGAGCGTCGCGGTGCCCGTGATCTCCTTCGGTGCTGGACGCTGTGAGTTGGCCGCGACGACGGCCTCCTGGAGGCGCTGCACCTGCACCTGCAGGTCCTCCAGCAACTTATTTGAGTCTGCGCCTTCTCGTCCACATTGCGAATGTCCGAGTAGATCGCGTCGCACCGAGCCCTGGCCTCCGTGCGCAGCTGGTCCAGCTTGGGCGTGACCACCGACATGATGTGTTGGTCCATCCTCTTCAGGAACTCGTCGAAGTCTCACTTGCAGGCCGCCTTACAAGAGTCGAAGTGCGCCTTGAACGAGTCGGTGATGGACGCCGTCTCGATGGAAATCGCAGAGGAGACCGCCGAGCCGACAATGCCATCCACCTGCTTCTTGACGTTGCTGGGCCGCTCGTTGACAACGTCCACGCAGAGGGCGCGGATGTGCATGTCCTCGTAGGCGTCGGAGTCAGTGTCTTGAGCGCGGGCAGCACCGCGACGGCGTGGCTCGGCAGTGCCCAGCTTGATGACCTTCTTGCCAGGGGTGTTCGGCGCAGGGCCACGGGGCGTTGAGGGAGCACCAGCATTGGCCGTGGACATCGGCGAAGCGAGAGACTGAAGCGTGCGATGAATGACGGGCTGTGGTGAGGGAGGCCAGATCCCGCGGTGAAGGCTGCAGAAGGGTGCCAAGCAGAGTTGCCTTGCCAGCCACGGAATAGCGGTATCCCTTTTCCGCCTTGGGGCTGGAAGCCCCCGAAGACATGGATCTTTAGCCAAAACGGCTACGGAGGAGGAGTAGGAGCAGGAGTAAGAGTACGAGTACGAGTAGGAGGAGGAGGAGGAGGAGGAGGAGGAGGAGGAGGAGGAGGAGGAGGAGGAAGAGGAGGAAGAGGAGGAGGAGGAGGAGGAGGAGGAGGAGGTGGGCAGTACGGAAGGAGGCTCGAAGAGAGGGGGGGAAGTGGGGGGAAGTGGGGGGAACTGGGATGACGGGGACCGAGCATCGAACCCCCAGGACCACGACGACGGCGGTCAGGGGGCTGGCGGCCAGCGAAAGCCACTGCGTCGGCGTTCGTGAGGTCGCGCCCCCAAGGGCCCCGAGGAGAGGCGGGCATCTTCGGCATGCCATCCCCAGACCTCGACCCCCGGCCACTCAATCCCACGATCCCTCGATCCTGCGTCCTCCTCCTTTCCCTCCTTCTACGAGTCATCCTTCCCCTCGTCCTCCTCCTTCTCTCCTCTCTTTCCCTTCTTCTCGTCCGCCGCCGCCTCCTCCTCCTTCTCCTCGCTCCCATCGACGGCGGCGGCGTCGGGGGTTTGACACCGGTGTTCCTGGCCCAAGGTGTCCCCAACATGTGGAGCCACGTTGGAGCCCATGGGTTGGCGAAGGAGTCCTGCAAGAAACGAGTCGCAGACCCCGAGGCTCTCCCCCGAGCAGCTCTTCATCCCGAGCCGTTTTTCGAACAGTCCTGGGGGCCCGTGGAGGGCCCTGGGAGCTTGCGATCGGCGAAAAGCCTGCAGGACCCGTTGTCCTCGGGAGCCGCCTCCCTCCCTGGCGACCCTGTGGCCCTCCTGGGCATCGCAGAGAGCCCCGTGGAGGCCGTCTGGGCCTCCCTGGAGATCCCAAGACACCTTGGGCCAGAGACACCGACCCAGACATCCGACGCTGCTTACATTTCACAGCGTGGCTGCCCAGCGATCTGGATCCCTTCCCCGGGACCGGCTACTCATCCCGAGTTGTTTGTTGACGGCCCTGGGGCCCCATGAGGGCCCCGAGCAGTTGACCATGACACAAAGTTGAAGTGCCTGTCGCGGTTTGTCCCAACCATCCTGTGGTCTTGGGCCCTCGCTTTGAAGAGACAACGCCACGCGTCTCACGCCCACCTCCCGCTGCCCCCTCCTGCCTCCCCCCTCCTCCCATCCATGCCTCTGCTCTCTGTATACCCTCATCGCCATCAGCATCAGCGTCAGAATCCTCATGCTCATCATCATCGTCGTCGTCGTCGTCATCATCATCATCACCACCACCATCACCATCAAATGATCATCAATATCATCACCACCACCATGATCATCATCATAATCACGATCAGCAGCATCCTGATCCTCGTCCTCATCCTAATCCTCATTATAATCATTTTTTCTTCCTCATCATAATCATCAGCATCATCATCCTAGTCATCATCATCATCATCGTCATCATCGTCATCGTTATCATCATCAGCATCATCTTCATCATCATCATAATCCTCATACTCATCATCATCAGCGTCACCATCAGCATCAACATCATCAGCATCAGTACCATCATCAGCATCATCGTCTTCGGCATCACCATCATCATCGTGGTCATCAGCATCATCAGCATCATCATCGGCATCATCATAATCATCATACGTATCAGCATCAGCATCACCATCGCCATCATCGACATCAGCATCAACATCATCATAATCATGATCATCGTCATCGTCATTGCCATCATCGTCCATATCATCACCATCATCATCATCACTGTCACCACCACCACCAGCAGCATCATCACCATCATCATCATGATGATGATCATCAGCATCATGATAGTCATATCATCGTCGTCGTCATCGTCAGTATCATCAGCCTCATCGTCATCATCGTCATCGGTTTAATGTGCAGGGTCATTAGTATCCTCGTCCTCGTCGTCAGTATCATCATCACCATCACCATCACTAGCAACATCATCATCACCATCACCGTCGCTATCACCATCACGATAACCATGATCATCGTCAGCATCAACAGCAGCATCATCATCATCATCAGCATCATCATCATTAGCACTATCAACATCATCATCGCCATCACCGACATCAAAACTACAAGCGTTATCGTCGGCATCTTCATCGTCATCATCATCATCACCATCATAATCACCATCATCATCGTCATAATCATCATCTCCACCATCACCATCAACATCATCCGCATCCTCATCATCAGCGGCATCCTTAGCATCATCATCAGCAGCATCAGCATCACCACCATCATCATCATCATCACCAGCACCAACACCACCATCATCATCGTCATCATCATCATCATCAGCATCATCATCATCATCATCGTCATCATCATCATCATCATCATCATCATCTTCATCTTCATCATAGGCCCTCGGCCACCCATTTCGGCACACCTGTCACGTTTCGCATATGGATCTCCACCTAAAGCTCCAGAGACAGGGTCCGCATGTGGGCGTCACCACCGTTTCGGCACACCCCTCACACGTTTCGTGCTCCCACAAAAGCTCCACCTGAGGCCCCCGTGGCAATGTCCGCATGTGGGCGTCACCACCGCTTCGGCACACCACTCATACGTTTGGTGGCCCCACAGCGAGCTCCACCTAAAGCCGAAGTGCCAGGGTTGGGCGTCACCACCGTTTTGACACACCCATCACACGTTTCGTGGCCTCTCAGGGAGGTCCACCCAAAGCCCCAATGGCAAGGTCCGCGTGAGGGCGTCACCACCGTTTCGTCACACCCATCACACGTTTCGTGGCCTCTCACGGAGGTCCACCCACCGCCCAAATGGCGCAAGGTCTACGTGAGGGCGTCACGCCTGCTTCGGCACACTCCTCACACGCCTCGTGGCCCCGTAGGGAGTTCCACCGAAGGCCCCTGGCAAGGTCTGCCTGTTAGCGTCACCACCGTTTCTGCACACGCCTCACACGCTTCGTGGCCCCATAAGGAGCTCCAACGAAGGCCCAAGTGGCAAGGTCCGCGTGTGAGCGTCACGCCTGTGTCGGCACACCACTCACACGCTTTGACGCTCCATAGGGAGCTCCATTTAAGGCCCCAGTGGCAGGGTCCACATGCGGACGACACTCCCGTTTCGGCACGCCCAGCTCAAGCCATGTCTGCAACGTTCCTGATTGGTGTCAAAACTTATGGGCAACACCGAATGTATCGCCAAAGTTGGGGAGATACGTGAAGCGAAGGCGAGGCGTTTGGTCGCATTGATTTGAACTTATAATGACCAGGTTGCTGCGAACCCACTTTCTTCAACACTGCGAACACACATGCTGAATAATCTGACAATGAAGCATGGTGGCGATACACAGACTCAATTATTGGACAAGGAAGGAATTTCATGGCCAATTATTCAACTTCCGGATGGCCACTGTGGCGGTAGGTGCTTGAACTGTGCTGGGATGACTCAGAAGAAGTGCGGGTGCTTTTGGTCTGATTTTATCCAAACCATCCTGTGGTGTGGGTCCTCGTTTTGAAGAGACAACGCCCCGCGTCTCACTCCCGCCTCCCGCTGCCCCCTTCTCTCTCCTCCCGCCTGCGCCTTTGCTTATCGCATGCACACTTCGACGAGCTCCTCACATCCTTCGTAGCCCCATAGGGAAGTCTACTAACTAAGGCCCCAGAGGCCCCGTCTGCTTGTGGGCGTCGCGCCGGTTTCGGAACACCCGTCGCACATGCCGTGGCCCCACCATAGGGCAGGAGAGCCCAAATTCGAATCGATAAGTCGGATCGCCGATCGAGTGGAATCGGATCGGCGGAAATCGACAGCCGAGTCGAGAAAGGTCGAATCGGCGGAAATCGGCAGGACAGTAGATCTCCGTCGGAACCCGAAGTCGAATCGAACTGGGATCGGAGACCATCGACATCGAATCGAATCGAATCGATTCGGAGGCATCGAAGTGAGCCCCGATAGGGAGCCCCCCTCCCTCCTCCGTCGCAGATGGTTGGGCCTCTCGTGCGAGGCGGGAATGTATCCATATCCACCGCCTGGGAACCGACGTGCTGGTGCCCCAGCGGGCGGCGGATATGGATATAGTTCGCCCCCCCGGGGGGCCCGAATATGTCCATATCCACCGCCTGCCGAGGCTCCGAAAACTGACCCTCCAGGCGGTGGTCATGTATGAATTCCCGCCTCGGATCTCGCCGGGGCAATCGTCCCGAGGGCGCCTGGGAGCCGCGGCCACCCCCCCGGGCGAGGGGCGGAGGGGCCCCGCGCCTGCGGCGGCCGGCGGGCCCTCGGCGAACCGCGCCGCCACCTGCTGCACCAGCACCTGGGACGCCCGAGGGATCCGGGGTAACTGCGGTCCGGGAACGTCGGCGGTGGACAGGAATAGGGGAGTAGGGGAGGAGGAGGAGGAGGAGGAGGAGGAGGAGGAGGAGGAGGAGGAGGAGGAGGAGGAGGAGGAGGAGGAGGAGGAGGAGGGAGGAGGAGGAGAGGAGGAGGAGGAGGAGAGGAGAGGAGGAGAGGAGAGGAGAGGAGAGGAGGAAGAGGAGGAAGAGGAAGAGGAGGAGGAGGAGGAGGAGGAGGAGGAGGAGGAGGAGGAGGAGGAGGAGGGGAATGAGGAGGCAGAGGGCATGAGAAGAGGGAGGAGGGGGAGCAGCGGTGAAGAGGATCTGGTGAAGACGAGGAGGGGGAGGAGACGAGAGGGGGGGCGACCGGAGACAAGGGTGACCAGTCTGCCTTGCTGGCGAGCGATAGAGGTTGCATCGGCGGTGGACAAACCTCCCTTCAGTAAACCTCCCCCTCGTGAAAACGGCCTAGGACCGAAACCGACGGGCCTGGACCCGCAAAAATGACGGCCGCGGCGCCCTCTCGCGAACCGAAAACGACCGATTCCCTAATCGACGTGTCAGGGTAGGAGGTCTATCAACCTCCGAGAATAAGTCCTGGGCGGCGCGCACAAGGGGGGTCATGTGAGGGGGGAAGGCTTCTTAGAAGGAGGCTGCTTCATTAGAAGGCGCCGGCCCTAGACCTCTAGAGAAGGCCCGCGCCTTCTCAGAACCAGGGGGTGCTTCTAAGAAGCCTCGCCCCCTCCCCCTGCCCCCCTCTGCGCGTGGCCGGACTCCGGCTTGGGCCCCCGAGGCACGAACCAGGAGTCACCCCCTTGACCACCCCCAGCCCCGATGACTCGGGCTTGGCTGATGAGATGCGGAATTGTCTGGGAGAACTGCGGTCCGGGGCAACTCCATTTTGGCCCCCCCGAGGCACGAACCAGGAGCTGCCCCCCACAGAGGAACGAAGAATCACATCCACATAAACACTCGGAGGTCCGCGCGGACCTCCGAGCTTTTCTGCTTATACGTCTTCCTTCGTCCCCCTATAGCTGGCCACCCCCGGCCCGGAAGCACCTGCGCCGGCACCTGCGCCGCTGGAGCCGGGGCCCGCGGCTGCCCGCCGCCTCGGCGGGAGAGGGCGGGCGCAGCGGCGGCGGCGGATGCGGCGGCCGGGGGGGCCACGACCGAGGCACTCGGCGGCTCGGGAGCATCGGGATGGCCACTTAGAGGCCTCCCAAATGGGGTCCGAGCAGACGGGTTCGGAGGATCGCGCTGCATCAGCGACGACGGCGGTGCATCGGCGACGTCGGTACATCGGGCTCCACCTCGAGCCTCGTCGGGCGATGCGTTGGCGTTGCGGCGCGATCCTCTGGCACCATCTGCTCAGACTCACCTGTGGAGGACTGGGTCAGTGTTTCCCCATTGCTTCCCGATCCTTCCTGGGGCAGTGTGGATCCCTGGCACCGTCAAACAAATGACCCAGGCGAAGGACCCAACCACATGTAGTTGTGGGTACCGCAGTTCTGAGCATTGTCTTCGGTGGATTTCCCCATGGGGCCACGGAGTGCGCGAGGAGCATGCGAAATGGGGGGGATGGGGGCCGCATGCGAACCCTGCCATTGGGGCCTTCGGCGGAGCGCCCTATGGGGGCCGCGAGACGCGTGAGGGGCGCGCCGACATGGGGGGAGCCGCACGCGCACTGCGCCACTGGGTGCTCCAGGACCACAAAGCGCGCAAGGGGTGTGCCGAAACAGGCGCTACGCCCACATGCGAACGTCGCCATTGGGGCCTCATGTGAAGCTCACTATGGAACCACGAAGCGCGTGAGAACTGTGCCGAAACGGGCGCGACGCCCACATGCGAACGTCGTCATAGGGCCTTAGGTGGAGCTCCCGATGGGCCCGCGAAACGTGTGAGGGCTGTGCTGACACAGGCGTGACGCCCACATGCGAACGTCGCCACTGCCACCTTGGGTGGAGCTCCATATGGGTCCACGAACCACGTGAGTGGTGTGCTGAAGCGGGCGTGACGCATGCAAAACCGCCAGTGGGACCTTCGGTGGAGCTCCCCATTGGGCCACGAAGCGTGTGAGAGGTGTGCCGAAACAGGCGTGACGCCCACATGCGAATGTCGCCATTGGGGCCTCAAGCTTCCTATGGGACCACGAACCGCATAAGGGGTGTGCCGAAACAGGCGTGACGCCCACATGCGAACGTCGCCACTGGGGCCTTCGGTGGAGCTCCCTATGGGGCCACGAAGCGTGCATGGGGTGTGCCGACACGGGCGTGATGTCAACATGCAAACGTCGCCGTTGGGGTCTCAGGTGGATCTCCGTATGCTGCCACGGAATGTGTGAGGGGTGTGCCGAAGCAGGCGCGACATCCGCATGCGAACGTCGCCACTGGGGCCTCATGCTGGTTTCCTTGTGCGGCCACGAGACGTGTGAGGGCTGTGCCGAAACGGGTGTGACGTCCACATGCGAACGTCGCCACACTGCGGCCATATGTGGCGCTCTCGATGTGCCCTCGAAACGAGTGAGTGGTGTGCTGAATCGGGTGCGACGCCCACATGCGAACGTCGCCAGTGGGGCTTTCGGTGGAACTCCCCATGGGGCCACGAAACGTGTGAGACGTGGGCCAACACGAGCGTGACGCCCACATGCGAACGTCGCCATTGGGGCATCAGGTGAACCTGTGGTGCCACGAAGTGCGTGCGGGGCGTGCCGAAACAGGCGTGACGTCCACATGCGATCGTCGCCACTGGGGCCTTCGGTGGAACTTCCTTTGGTGCCACGAAGCGCATGATGGGTGTGCCGAAAACAAGGGGATGCGGAAGGCTGAAGACAGGAGTGGGAGGATGGAGGAGGAGAGCATGGCAACGGGAGGAGAGGAATGAGACGCGGGGCGCTGTCTCTTCAAAACGAAGACCCAACACCGCACGATGGCTGGGAGCTGCTCCGCTCCGGGGGCTGCGGGGGGGGGTCGAGACACCTGGGGGCCCACCACTCAAAGCATCGAACCGCCAGATGTCTGGGGAGACAAGGCGACGATATCTACACGTATCCACTATCCCTGGCCAGGCCCGTGCTGGGACCAGGGAAAGCGCATGCGCCCTCATGGCCAGAGTGGCATCTGCACCGCTCCTGGGCCCAGGATGGACCTGGCCAAGGGCAATGGATAGCTATGTGCAGATCTCGTCGCCCGAAAGAGATTGGAGGACCTGGGCAGCCCGACTCTGCGCTGTTCGCCACGCGAATCACAACTGTCTTCGCGCCGTCGCGCGCCCCCCCCCACCCCAACGCCCGACGGAGAAGGGCGAATCCTGGGTGTTGCAAGATTTCCCAGGAGGCCCAGGTGGCCGCCACAGCACCCCTCGCGCGGTCCAGCGAGTGGGCACCCTGGGTTCGAAATTGGTCTGAGGAACAACGATAGGGGGCGACTGGCGTAGGGGGGGATGCATCGACATGGAATCGGACATACATCGTCGATAGATCGGCGATAGGCCCCCGATAGTGAATCTGCACGCTCCTGGGCAGGTTGAAGGGTCCATTGGGTGTCGATGCGCCCCCGGCAACTGCGCCTCGCCAAGAGGCGTCCGAAGGATTGCAAAAAAACGAAGGATTGCAACAAAAACCCTTGAACGACGGATTGCAAAAAGGTTTTTTTTGCAATCCTTCGAAGGGTTTTTTTGCAATCCTACGAACGAAGGTTTTTTTTTGCAATCCTTCGAAAAAAAAGTTGTTTTTTGCAATCCTGGGATTTGTTGCAATACTTCGTTCAAGGTTTTTTTTTATAGAAAAAAAAACAATCCTTGGTATTTTTTAACATAACAGCGAAGACTGATAGGTTTCTAGTGGGGTCAAAAGAGAGCATCATGACTCCTCAGGGGGGTCTGGGCGGGACCCGGGGCGGCTGCCGCCGAAGCCGAAATCGCTTGGGACATCCTCGCAAAATCGCTCTTTGCGCTCCCAGAACTCCATTCCCGGGCCACATTTTGAATGCCCGGAGCCAACTGTAGGCCACTTCGTGCTCTTCGACTTCCCAGAACTCCATTCCTGGGCCACATTTTGGATGCCCGGAGCCAACTGTAGGCCACTTCGTGGTCTTCGAGTTCCCAGAACTCCATTCCTGGGCATGATTTTGAATGCCCGGAGCCAACTGTAGGCCACTTCGTGTTCTTCGAGTTCCCAGAACTCCATTCCCGGGCCACATTTTGAATGCTGAGGCAGGCTGATGCTGAGGCCGAGGCTGAAGGCAGACTGAGGCTGAGGCTGAAGCAGGCTGAGGCTGAGGCTGAGGCAGGCTGAGGCTGAGGCTGAGGCAGGCTGATGCTGAGGCAGGCTGAGGCTGAGGCTGAGGCTGATGCAGGCTGAGGCTGAGGCAGGCTGAGGCTGAGGCCGAGGCTGAAGGCAGACTGAGGCTGAGGCTGAAGCAGGCTGAGGCTGAGGCTGAGGCAGGCTGAGGCTGAGGCAGGCTGAGGCTGAGGCTGAGGCAGGCTGAGGCTGAGGCTGTGACTGTGACTGCCGTTGCCACTGCGACTGTCATCGCGAATGCGACTACGACTGCGAGAACAGCAGAATTCTACAACTGGATTCTCATCTGAATCGTAAGGGGAATGCTTCCAAATATGCTCCTACACATCGCTGTTAGGTTGCTTTGCCGGGATAATTGCAATCCTTCGTTCGAGTGAGTGCCCGGATCGTCCCGATCGGCCGCCAGACGCCCGAGCTGATGGGCCTGTTTTCCACCACCGCCACCATAAGTTGGCGGGGAGGAGGAGGAGGAGGAGGAGGAGGAGGAGGAGGAGGAGGAGGAGGAGGAGGAGGAGGGAGGAGGAGGGAGGAGGAGGAGGAGGAGGAGGAGGAGGAGGAGGTGGAGGAGGATGAGGAGGACCCCCTCCTATCGTTGCCCCTGCTTGCCCCGGAGGCCCACAACGGCCAAGAACATCCGCACCGCTTCCTGGCGACGCTGGGCGTCCGGCTGCCCGGCCCCAGCTCGGGCGTCCGGCTGCTATTGAAGGGGCCCCAGGACGCACAAATAAATACACACGAATAACAGGATTCCCCACATTTCCCTATATTTTCTGGGTGTTTGTCTTCCCCCCCACTTCCCATATTTTCCCATATTTTCCTGGTAATCGACGATTACTTGTGCCTGTGTTTTGTTTTTGTCCCTTCTGAGCTAAGTTGGGACGACTCGGGCACGCCCGGGCAGGCCCTCGGCGAGGAGCAGCCGGACGGCCTCCGTGCACCAGCGACGCAGCAGAGCAGCGCAGCTGTCGGGGCGAAGGGCCCCACCAGGAGCAGCGCTTCGAGCATCGCGGGGCAGGTGGGAAGGAGGGCGGGGCCAGGAAAGGGACTGCGGCGTGCCTGCCCCACTTCCTTCCCAGCTTTTTCGCTCCGCTCCCTGTTTCCAGTGCGCGGCGTCGCGCTCCCGCCCGCCTGGCCCGAGCCCCGGGCCCCGCCGTTTTGTATCCATGGCCTTCTCTCGTGCTTCTCCCCTCTTTGTCGTTGCGCCCTGCTTAGACAGGCGCGTTCCACTACTCGCAAAGTAGCTACTCGCAAGTGGCCTGGAGCCGCCAGAGGAGACTTACGATCTATTACATAAAGGCAGACGTGTGGTTTTCTGACGTTTGCGAGAAGGCACTTTGCGAGTAGTGGAACGCGCTCGGCGACTGCTGACCGCGGTTCTGGGCACCGCGTGTTGCAGAGCCTTTCTCCGAAGGACTTAGGCGACCCCTCCTCCTCCTCCTCCTCCTCCTCCTCCTCCTGCTCCTTCTTCTCCTCCTCTTCCTCCTCTTCCTCGTCCTCCTCCTCCTCCTCCTCCTCCTCCTCCTCCTCCTCCTCCTCCCGAAGGAATCCCGGCGACGCGCGCGGGTGGTCCGCGGCACGGACCAACAAAAAAACACGAGTGGCCGACAGCGGGCAAGGCGCTGGGCAGAGCGCGCGGGCGCCGGGCAGCTCCTGGTGGCACAGCGCAGGAGAGCCCCCGCGAGCCAATCGGGCCACGAAGCGCGTGGAGGGGGTGCCTTCGCTGGAGCTCCACATGGAGCCACGAAGCGTGTGAAGGCTGTGCCGAGACAGATATGTGGTGGGCGGAGAGCCGCATGCGAACTCTACCGCTAG